TAATATTTGAAAATGTATGAGGCTACTAATTTAGGGATAACTATATTGCTAACGGATAATCAAGAAATCATCTAAATAAGGTCGTCTTACTAAAACATGGTGTATTTCTCTGAAGCCTGCTTTATTAAAAGAATTAAGTTTTTGCATTTATAAGTTGAAGAATGAATTTCAAATATATATATATATATAAATGCAGTGATATTGATATCTATGAAACGTAAGATAGAGAACGTCTTGTACTATATCAGCAGATAATTACCCACCATATAAAGCCATGACTTTTCAGGTATGGATATGCCAGTTCAGCATAAAATATTCCCCTTACAGTCGTAAAGTTCATCACATCCCATACTAAACCTATTTCTGTCTTCTTCTCACTGGTTCAGTTTGATGGGTAAGTATCACCTTGCTTGCTTAAAGGATAACAGATTAGTAGGAAATATTGACATCAATATATCTATATTCTCAACTACACTTTCATAAAAAGAGAAGAAAAGTGTTCAAGAAAGAGAAGGCTTTAGAGTTTAAGGCAATAGTTTAAAACAAAATAATAGTTAAAAAATCCTTAAAGTAATATCCTAATCTATCTAGAATGGGAATTCTATATCGATATCCATTAGTATTGTTTATAACGAATCAGAGTCTATGAATGTGATTTTCCTGTACCAATTATTAATAAGTTTTTATCTTCATCACAATCCTTGAAACTTCTCAAGAGGCCAGAAGGCAGTAGTCCTGGATGACTAAGCATGCATATAATTAAATTTTAAATTGAAATTCATCCATCGTGAAACACATTTTCAATGCTTAATTTCAGATTATCTAATTATTTCACCAAACAAGCTAGTCACCGATCTTGACTTATTCCTACCACACATCGGATATTTGCAAATAATACATATTATGACATGTCGGATATTTGATTTCCTTCAACGTTACGCATTATATAAATATTAATACATAAACCTTATTTGAATTTATCTGATATTGTGGAGGTGATTGCAAATTAATATTCAGAATTGTCCTAAATTTTATACATATTAATAATTCCCCTAAAATTTTGTCTTGAATCGGAGAATGCTTAAGGATCACGAACCATTTATTTAGAATTATATATGAAGAATAAAAAACTCATTGTAAAGATAAGAATCTCACGGTTTCTCAGATTTGTTGGTGCTGAATGAGCTACGTATGTATTAAGAATTGTGTGAGTATATTTGTAAGAACATAGGAGCTGTAACATCAATCATAATCGTTTTGTCATTTGTTCTTTGTACAAATATTTATTATTATTGTTTTGAAATAGAGTCCATTATCTTATTATCCATTTGCAACAGGTACAGGATTATAACACTTTTTCTTTAAGATAAATAATTATATATTAAAGTTTTCTAGCCAAAGTACCCAACAAAAGGAAGGCCATCTTAATTAACAAGATCCATATCTCGTAATGAAGCGTCAAGATGACTTGGCAATTACATTACATGTATAAACAGCAAAAAGTTGGGAATTGAAGTTATGTAATAAGCAACATCCTTAAATGGGATGAGGATTGAGATTTAAATTAATTTGAGTCAGCTCCAAGTCAGTATAGTTGTAAACATTGGTTCATGATCATGAATTGAACCAGCATGACTTGTTGGAACATGAATCAGTTATCTACTTTGTAACAACTTGATCAGATTAAAGGTGATCTGAGTATCTTCTTCCCATTGCTATTAAGTGGTCAAAAAAAATAATTTTAAAAACGCTAAAACTTTATCTAATTATCTTTTTTCTCAAGGCTTTAGCCATCCGTAAAGCCAACTAGCATTTCTAAAGAGCATAAACTTTATCCATATAGAATTTTAAGAATTTGAATTCTTTGGGTTTATTTGAAATTTAAATGATGTTTAATTGGGTTAAAAAAATTCATCAATTATCTTCATCCTAATTAACAACTAATCACATTTAGGTTTCCAAACCAGCAACAGAAGCTCTTTTGTTTTTGGGCAAACAAACCTGAATACTGTAGGAGGTAGAAAACATAAAAACAGTTTCACTGATTCTCATACCAGATATTTTTAGAGCAAGAAAAAAAATCTCTCCCCAGATAATTCCATCAAACCTACCCTAACCCACCGTTTCCAGGTCATGTTACTGTTAATAACACTTAAAATATTAGCATCGGATAAACTTATCTATTATTACCTANGGAATTCTATATCGATATCCATTAGTATTGTTTATAACGAATCAGAGTCTATGAATGTGATTTTCCTGTACCAATTATTAATAAGTTTTTATCTTCATCACAATCCTTGAAACTTCTCAAGAGGCCAGAAGGCAGTAGTCCTGGATGACTAAGCATGCATATAATTAAATTTTAAATTGAAATTCATCCATCGTGAAACACATTTTCAATGCTTAATTTCAGATTATCTAATTATTTCACCAAACAAGCTAGTCACCGATCTTGACTTATTCCTACCACACATCGGATATTTGCAAATAATACATATTATGACATGTCGGATATTTGATTTCCTTCAACGTTACGCATTATATAAATATTAATACATAAACCTTATTTGAATTTATCTGATATTGTGGAGGTGATTGCAAATTAATATTCAGAATTGTCCTAAATTTTATACATATTAATAATTCCCCTAAAATTTTGTCTTGAATCGGAGAATGCTTAAGGATCACGAACCATTTATTTAGAATTATATATGAAGAATAAAAAACTCATTGTAAAGATAAGAATCTCACGGTTTCTCAGATTTGTTGGTGCTGAATGAGCTACGTATGTATTAAGAATTGTGTGAGTATATTTGTAAGAACATAGGAGCTGTAACATCAATCATAATCGTTTTGTCATTTGTTCTTTGTACAAATATTTATTATTATTGTTTTGAAATAGAGTCCATTATCTTATTATCCATTTGCAACAGGTACAGGATTATAACACTTTTTCTTTAAGATAAATAATTATATATTAAAGTTTTCTAGCCAAAGTACCCAACAAAAGGAAGGCCATCTTAATTAACAAGATCCATATCTCGTAATGAAGCGTCAAGATGACTTGGCAATTACATTACATGTATAAACAGCAAAAAGTTGGGAATTGAAGTTATGTAATAAGCAACATCCTTAAATGGGATGAGGATTGAGATTTAAATTAATTTGAGTCAGCTCCAAGTCAGTATAGTTGTAAACATTGGTTCATGATCATGAATTGAACCAGCATGACTTGTTGGAACATGAATCAGTTATCTACTTTGTAACAACTTGATCAGATTAAAGATGATCTGAGTATCTTCTTCCCATTGCTATTAAGTGGTCAAAAAAAATAATTTTAAAAACGCTAAAACTTTATCTAATTATCTTTTTTCTCAAGGCTTTAGCCATCCGTAAAGCCAACTAGCATTTCTAAAGAGCATAAACTTTATCCATATAGAATTTTAAGAATTTGAATTCTTTGGGTTTATTTGAAATTTAAATGATGTTTAATTGGGTTAAAAAAATTCATCAATTATCTTCATCCTAATTAACAACTAATCACATTTAGGTTTCCAAACCAGCAACAGAAGCTCTTTTGTTTTGGTCAAACAAACCTGAATACTGTAGTAGGTAGAAAACATAAAAACAGTTTCACTGATTCTCATACCAGATATTTTTAGAGCAAGAAAAAAAATCTCTCCCCAGATAATTCCATCAAACCTACCCTAACCCACCGTTTCCAGGTCATGTTACTGTTAATAACACTTAAAATATTAGCATCGGATAAACTTATCTATTATTACCTACAATAAAATATGTCTATAGTGAGATTTTATATAGAAATAATTTTTATATAATTATAAAAAAATTTAGATCCAACTTAAAATAGTTATAAATAACAATACTCTATATTATAATAAGTTATAATTTTTATAGTTATCATCTTAAGAAAGTTGTCTCCACACACACCCACACACATATATATAAAGTTTAAAATAAAATAAAATATTTATTTAAAGTTGTTTGAGACAATGATTTATACTTTAGAGTTATTATAACACCTTTTAACTTGTGAGTATGTAATAACTCGCTAGCATTGACGCTTTCTTGTTAAAGTCAAAAATATTTTTGATTTCTTAAGTATGTTTAGAACTTCTTGACATAAAACTTTTTGTATTTTCGTACTACTATCTTCATGATTATTTATTTTCTCCTCTCGTCTAATTGTAATAATGATTACTAAAATAATAAATTGAAATCCTAACTAAATACTAATAAAACATGAATAATAAAATAAAAAATAAAAAAGTATTTTTTATAGTTACGCCTCTATTAAATTATACTTTCTTATAGTAATAAATTAGTTTGATCCTACCATTATGACTATATAAATGTTTTATGTATTATAAACTCTTTGAATGCATTTTAGGTAATATAAAATAATTTCCAAAATAATGTAAGAAAGCTCAATTTACTTTCCAAAAAATTTAAATAAAATTCTAATATATATATATATATATATAGCCTATGAATATGCAACCAGAACTACTGTTTCCATTTAGGACAAAAGAGTAAGTCCCACCGAGACAAGATAAGATCATCCCTCAACATCATAAGATAAGATCTGTGTCCTCGATACTAACATAAGGCCACCTAGCGAATTCTTAGCCGTCTGACTTCATTATAGTTGACCCCACACTTTCCATCATGATGAGGATCCCTGTCATTAGTTTCTATAATAATAATAATAATTCTTATCATATAAAACGACATCTAACAATAGAATATTTCAAGCATATCCAAAACTTTTTCCACTGCTTAATAATTATAGGTTAGGCTGACATGGAACCAGCTGGTACTGCGAAAAAATACTAAACTCTCTACCAATCATCACATTCCATGTAAGCAAAAACAAACCCTTCATGTTCGCGGCGGCTCGTTCGTCCAACTCGGACAAGTGGGGACAAGTGGGACCCAATTCTTGTTATAAATCCACCTACGACTTTGAAAGAAAGCACGTGTATTTTTATTTTTCCTAAAACGAAAATAGAGATAAATTTTATGGCGAAAAGCTCGGTGAGGAGACAAATGTCTGACGAAGTCGCAAGATTTCTTGAGGGGACGGCGAGTTTCGCCGATATTGTGTTTAGGGCTTCGGAAGAGAACAACGACTCCCTTGAAAATTTTTGTGAAAAAGATGAGGATTCTGAAGAAAATGTTGAAGAAAACAAGGCGTTCTGGGAGACACAAGACCAGCTTCTCCAGGTAGATTTTCATGTAAATCAAAGCTAATTCTGACATTTTGGGGAAATAATCAATTTCGTGTTGGTGAACTCACGGTTTTGTTAATTTTTTCCAGGCAACAATATGTAGGACTAGTTCTGTTGAATCAAAAGTCCGCCAGGCTACAAAAGGGGCCTTGAGCGAGATTAATTTAGTAGGTCTAGAATGTGTGTGCCGGAAGCCCGTGGCCGGAGGTTGCCGGAATTGTTTACAGAGAGAACTCTCCCTTAGGCTTCAAAATTCTGGGTATAATTGTGCCATTTGTAAGTCCAAATGGAAGAGCTCACAAGAGATCCCCCCAGGTAGACATATGCATAATTCATTCTTTAATTAGATTGTTTATTAGTCAACAAGACCAGGATTACTAAATATGATTCAATTTCCAGGTCAACATATTTATTTGGAAGTGGTGGAGAAATTGAGTTCAAAGAAAGGAGAAATGAGGGTGGTGATTGAGTTAAATTTCCGTGGTGAATTCGAGATGGCAAGAGCAAGTGAAGAGTACAAACGGTTGATTAGTCGGCTGCCGGAAGTATTTGTTGGAAAAACGGAGAGATTAAAAGCCTTAATAAAAATACTATGTGCAGCGGCCAAGAAGTGTATGAAGGAGAAGAAAATGCATATGGCTCCATGGAGAAAGCAAAAGTACATGCAGGCAAAGTGGCTAGGAACATACGAAAGAACAATACCAGCAACACTGCCTGTCGGATACTCAGACAGGCTACCAAAGCCAAAAGCTTCAATGTTAACCTATGATTTGGTAGACAATTTACCTGCCTTGCATTGCAGTACTGCAGTAGAAGTTTTGTGATGAGAGAAAGTTTTGTTTTCATATTTCTACGGCTTTAGTTTTGACCACCATATTGTAAAATATGTGTTATGATCTTAATGAGTGAGACGATGTACATACATTGTTGATCAGTCATGAGGGAATTATTATTATTATTATTATTATTATATATATGTATATAAGCGGTTCCAGACTTCCAATCCTCTTCTGAAAATTATCATTAATCTTATTATATCGAGAAATTGAGTGTCTTTTGTGATGTATATCAGCGGCAGATTAAAGTCCTATGTATTAGTCTTGAGCTAGAGCAGAGCAATTCAAACTTAAGAAATTTTTTTTTTTTTTTTGGGTGCCAAGTGTTTGTGGGCATGTTTGGGACTTGTTTCGCTAACAAAAGTAGTTTGTGGGCCTTATTGGTTCTTAAGTTGTTGATGTTTTGGGCTTTTTATATTGTTTCATCAGCCGTTACTGTTACTGGTATGAAAACTTCCATCTGAAATTGAACTACAGTTACCTTTTCTTTGTTAATTAATTTGGTTCTAACAAATAGAGTTCTACTCAGAGAAGTTCGAATACCAGAAATTTGTATAAGAGCATTAGTAAGTAGCAATCTGTCTGCAGATCAGATCAAAGTTGAATATCCCACACCAGAGTAGACTCACAGAAACTCTTTACTTAGAAAACAGGATTAAGCAGCATGGTTGGCTCATGATGCTTTTGCATCTCCAAACTAAGTGAAGTTATTTGCATTCCTAGAGTAACTCTTCACACTTTTTTTAAATATAAAATAATTTAACTAAACAAAATTATGACTCTCTTCATATCATTAAAAGAAGTCCATTTTAGGCATATTAAAGCATATGTTTCAATTCTACAGAAGCATATTCTTATATGGAAGGAGTGTAAATAACAACTAAAAAAGTATGTATTTTTTTTTTTTTTTTCATATACAAGTACGATTTAAAATTTTCAATAATTGTTAGTCGCGGGTTGGCTGTAGAGATATCCAATGATAGACACCTCTAATTTTTGCATGGGCCAAAAATCTTAATTGGCCTTACTAGGTTCAAACACTAAACATCTACTGCATAACCCAATTTCGATTTGGTCTACACTAAGATCTATGCTATGAGTCAGCCCATTACTCAAGCCAGGCTATTCACGAATTGGATCATTCAATTACTAAGGTCATACCTCAAATTGGGCCTTGTTGTTAGCCCACTTGGGCAGTAGCCCATTGGCCCACGATTGCTCCACAGGACCCAGAGTCCTATCTATATCCTAATTCATCTATGACCTTTACCTCTATCCAAATCCAACTAAGGTTTTCATCTACATTCTAATTCACCTAAACTCTTGAATCTTACTCCTATAAAAACAAGTAAATCAGGACTTTCTTATTTACTCAAACTCCGTCATTATAAACTCAGAGTTCTACTAGGATTCAAGCTCCTAGGCTCACTATATAAACAGAGGTCATGCCTCTCATTATTGAAAATCTCAATACCACCTACTTGTTCTTGAAGTTCTTACTCCTAAGAACCACCATCACCTTCATCGTAGTTTTAGTCTCCGACAACCTTTCCTCCCCTTATCCCTCACTAAATTGCCTTTCCAACCTTGCTGACTTGAGCGTCGTTGTAGTTCTAGTCTTCGACGAGACTCCGGTGACCTTTCCTCCCCTTAGCACTCACTAAATTGCTTTTCCAGCCTTGTTGACTTGAGCGTCAGATTGCTTACAGCAGACACCACACAGGTGTTCCCTCTGAGCTTTGTACTTACTTCTTTGTGTGTGTAGGTCCGAAAGATTGTTAGTGGTCTCAACCTCACAGGATCCGTCTGTTTTGTAACCGATAGATTTTTATCGTCTACATTTTAAAACTAATAAAATCATATTAGTAGTACTAAAGAAATAAAGTATTTTTGTTTGGACATGTATTACTGAACGTGTTCAATTACACTAAACTGATTTTTGATGATTTGTTGGGTTAGATTGAAGCCAGTAAACTTAAAATGTTTATTTGTTAATGGCTGAACATAAGTTTTATGTTTAATTGAATTAAATTAAACTAGTCTTGTTAGGTAAAGAATTCATAAAGGTGTGAACTTAAATATACTCCAACCATCTCATTCTTGGAACATTTCTTCTAAAAACTTGAAAGTTTCATCAGGTGAACTTAGTCTTGAATTATAAAAGACAAGGAAAAAATTGTCGCAGTGTTGGACGGGAAAGAATCTTGAAATAGAAAAAAAGACTTTATAAGTTTGGGTATGAACAAACAGATAAACAGAGGAAAATGTAGGAGTTAAGTATTGGGGTCTTAAAATCAGAGATAAAATAATTAAAAAAAAAAAGTATTAAGAGTCTTTAACGGGTAAAAGTCTTCCAAAGGAAAGACTTTGTAAGTCTGATTGTGTCATAAAAAAGAAAGGCTTTATAAGTTTGATTATCCAAGAATGAACAAGTAAAGGAAGTCATGGGTAAAAATAGATGTCTTATGTTGTTGCCTTGTTGATGGTAGTTGGTACTTTGATAAAACCTCATATATTTTATCTTATTTTTTAAATAAAAAAATAAAAAAATAATCAATCTGATGAAAAATAATCAAATTTTGTATATGTACTCTTTCTAAAACATAGGAAAATCTAACATTAGATTTGAGAGAGGCATTACGCAAGCACAGTTTCACATCCCCACTCCCATTCGCCAAGTCAATTTTGGAATAGACAAACTCAATTAGAGAATTTCCTTTTTTTTTTTTTTTTTTTTTTTTTTTTTTTTAAACTCAACGATCAAACCTGTGTGACTTAAAGGAAGGATGGAAGAGATGAAACAAAAGGAGAAAAAAAAAATTATAAAATAAAAGGAAAAAAGATAGGGAAACTAATAATTTAATTAATTAATAAAAAAAGTAAAAAGCTCATACTCCATTTGAACAAATTCAACTTAGACTATGAAAATAAGAAAGATTAAAAAAAAAAAAAAATTTATGGAGACTCTTTGATAGGGTAACTTCTTTAGAAAGATAAAAGTTTGTCGTTTCAATAAGTGGATATGAATTTCTACTCAATCAATACTTCATTTCTTTGCTCAATGAGAATTAGATCTATTGTATCAAGATCATGCCCACGAATTTACAGGAATCGTGGAAGGGAATAAAAAATAAAAAAAGAAGGAAAAATTAATCATAAAAGAAAAAAAATCTATATTCCAAAGAAAATTTTCAAACATAGATTGTGAATATATTAGAAAAGATACAAGTGTCGAGAGTCTTTGACGGAGAAGAATTTTTTCTTTAAAAAATAAAACTTTATCAGTTTTATATGAATAATGTACATGAATTTCAACTTTAACGGTGATTAAATTCAACTTCACAACAATTACCTATTTTAGGGCAACTTTAGGAGTCGCACACGCTTCCCTATTGCATCGCAAAGGGGTTAGCAACTATATATACTATTTTTAATTAAAATAATATTGATGTAAAATTTTTATACAAATTTTTCGTACAAACTAATGTAATATAAATGAATGGATAAAAACACATAATTACTTAATAAATATATATCAAATTATGTGTCAATAAGAACAATATTATATCACTTTGTATATTTAGTTTGAATAAGTAATCTTTAATTAATTATTATGGCCTGATGCATAGCCATAACGACATAGTTTTGTCCATACAACTTGTACTTAAAACGCAATTTACTACCTCCTCAAGCACACCAAAACTCATTCTATGATCTTCACAATATTTGATCATTCATTTATGTTTCAATTGATAAATATATATCACATTATGATTGAGAATTTACACTCCAGATTTAGTTTACAACTTGCTAAGCAATATACATCAACCCCTCTATCTATTAAATTCTAGCATCTAACGATCAACAAGGCTTATTAGTCATGGACGGTGGATCCATCACGATTACTCTTAACATATAATTATTTTCTTCTTTGCTATATAGTAGATTTTTTATATAATATTTTGTAATTATGTTGTCTCTGGATATGATATAAGTTTATTTATCTTTAATTTCTGATTAATGTTTGTTCGTATTGCTACATGTGTACATTGCAAGACTTGACTCATAGTGGTGGTAGATAAACTCCATGCATGTGATCCACAACCACATAAGCTAAAAGATTTGGTCTTATCTTAAAACTCTCATTTAATCAAATATTATTATAACTATACGAGGAATCATGTGATTCTGTATATATATATTTCAGTAACGTTGAGTTCTCTCTCTTAATTTGAGTAAACAAATTAATCAGAAGTTGGGAGTCTAAAGGAAAACGATGGAATGGAGTTATGTCATGTCATCCGTTTCCAGAAAGTGAGTGGATAATATTAATTTGACCACGTTTAATCCTAATATGAACAGAAGGCGACTGGTTTTTTGTCTTTTTAACATATTATATATTGTCTTTAATTTTAAAGTTACAAGGCGTAAATTCTCCTGTTTACACCTGAAAAACAAGGTATGACTTCTCCCGTCTACACCTGCAATGCAAGCAGCTTCTTGGAAGAAGTTATTTTGTAAGTCAAAAACCCATGCTTTAATTCAATAGTTCCATGAAAAATATTTACTGATAGGAGAAAGGGGATTTCCAGGAAAATGAAGAAATAAAAAAGCATGTGACAACAATCAATGCTTGTTGGTTACTGGGGACTTGACTTATCAACAAGCGCTGTGGCCAGGACTCGTTTGATGTTGCGTCAAGAGTAATGTAGTGGAATGGAACGACCTGGAGATTTAGATGAGATGAGGTCAATATGGAGCCGAAATTCCTACAGTTTTTCACACGAGAAAACCTGTTAAGGTCAATGTTACTACATAAATTTGGGTCCCAGTGTGCCATATGTTAGATCACTTTCTTCCTAATGTGTCACTCTGTATTCAAAGGAAAAGCTTTAAATAATTCAGGTGGGAACGACCACTCAACACAGGTGGGCCTCTTCATCAATGTCTTCAAGCCAAGGTCTCAATCAAACCATTTAATTATTTGGTTTCTCACCATCCGTATCTTGACTTGTGATTTTTCCGACTTCCAGCTATATACTAGACATATCTGCTCTACTCGAATGGTATCAGTATAAATTTTTAATGGATTGAAAATATGCATTAGGAAGGTGTTCCGTAGCATATTTTTATGAAGAAGAAAAGAGTTTTGAGGAGCAAGCTCCAATAAAATGTTAATGGAGATTGGTGATCAATTGTTTGTTAGAAAGGCCTTATTGACTAATAACCATCCAATACCTTTCTTTCACCGTCTAATACGGGAAATTAACCTAGGATTCAGCACTTCATCTGAGAATATGATTATTTGATCGACTAATAATCTTATATTAATTAAATAAAGTGCTCGACGAATAATAATCTAATAGAGTGAATTTAAGTTTAATTCTGCCCACAAGCACTAAGCATGTGTGCACTTTTACTATCAAAACAAACTGCATTGTCATGGTATTGAGACACATAAATCTCAGATTAGAATACATATATTTGTGTGTAATGATGAAATACACTTATATTTGGAATTAATTCTTGGACCAAAAAAAAAAAAAAAAAAAAAGAGAGAGAAACCTTAACTTTATTTATAAAAAAATATGAAATAAAATATAATTTATTTATGCTACTTTTTAATATCTGTTTGATACACTCTTTAAAATATTATTCTAGTTTTTCCAATAAAATTAAATTTAAAAATATATTTGTTTTACTATTTTTAAAATTATATTCTATTTTATTTATTTCATAAAAATAATCAAACTTTACTATTTTTAAAATATTATTATAAAAATAATCCAACAATCAAATCAAGCCTAAATCTTCCAAATAGAATATCTTTTGACTCTAAAAGTGGTTTAAAAAGAAAAAGAAAAAGAGGGACTTATCCAAGCGCTTTCCTCGAAGAAGATATAAAAAAAATTACATACGTGTAAATACTGTTGGTAGCAAGATTCCATATTGATGGCTGAAGAGTGCAGGGTGACGTTTCTTCAATGACGAACTCTTGAGGGTCCCAATGAATTAATTATGTTTAGTACGTATTCTTTTAGATGGTGATTGCTATGTCTATACATTTATATATATGAACATATATCATGTGTCAGTATACAGCAAAACGGAGATAGTTTCAGAATTTGATGTCATGGGATATCTAACGCAGAGCTTGGCAGGAAAAGAAATGGAGAGGAAACCAAGTTCTTCTTCCACTAAGATAGAGAGAAAAATCATTGAGAAGAATAGAAGGAATTATATGAAGAACCTCTACAACAATCTCAACTCTCTTCTTCCTAATCGAAGCTGCAAGGTTTCACTCTCTCTTTTAATTCAAAATAAAAGAAATTTTTTATTTAGGTGTGTCTTTAATTAGGATGAAAGCATGTGATGTATGTTTACTAACGAACAATTAATGGTTGATGTGGGTTCAGGAAGCATTGCCACTGCCGGATCAGATAGATGAAGCTATAAACTATATAAAGAGTTTAGAGGGAAAGTTGCAGGAATGCAATGTGAAGAAGGAAAATTTAATGGGAAGAAAAAGATCATACGCCTGCACAAATAGTCCTGCAACTTTGGCAGCAAGCTCAAAACCACCCAAAATCGAGATTCATGAAATGGGTTCCACTTTAGAGGTGGTTTTGACAACTAGTGTAGATAATCAGTTCATATTTTATGAGGTTATTCGCATTCTTCAAGAAGATGGTGCAGAGGTTGTGAATGCCAATTGTTCAACTGTCGGAAATACGATTTTCCAAGTAATTCATGCAGAGGTAACTACTTATGATCTCAATTCCTAAATTATTACCTCATAAATGTTAAGTTTGATATCTAAGTTTGAAATTTTCCTGGACTTGTTTTGTGCAGATGGGAGATAGAATGTTCAGTTTTGGAGCTGCAAAAATAACTGAGAGATTAAACCAGTTTGTACTTGGATCCACCAGTGAAGTAGAGTTGCAATCTCCAGAATTATGGAACTTTGCAATCGATCCAGAATGTTGGGATTTCTAAGTCCTGCTATTCATATGTATTGATCAGGTGCAAATCTAGTTAGAAGTATTAATACAATCTTGGAAATTTCACTTGAACTTGTGATTTCCTTTCCTGAAACAGATTTTTCTCTTATTTTTTTCACGAAACTGAAACTGATGATGTGAAGAACACATGCACATAATAAAATAAAGCATGAGGTGACCAGTTTTAGGAACCCGTTAAAAATTCATCAACATCTTACTAGAAATTAACTACCGTTCTTTGAATTGTGATCTCATTTACCTTTCCGGGAGGGAATCGGAGAATTTATAATATGGGTATTATTGCTCTTGAATAGAGACGTAAACTAATTGAAATTCACGGCCTCCTTGAGTCTCTGTCGCTTGGCTATTACACGTTCTGAAAGAAGCCAAAGTTAAAATTGGTAAAGTTGCTGATTCTGTACAGTCTCTTGTTCGATGGATGAGCCGCTAAAGGGCGGAACAAAAGTGAAATATCTAGAACTGCTTTATTCTAATCTTACAAGAGAATAGCAACAAAAATTCCATCACATCAAATTTGGCGATAACACACTTTCACACATGATGACGTTGCATGCATAATTCATAAAGCATTAATCATTTGATTGTCGCTAACCAGAATTCTCAATTTTTCGCAAGCCCCGTCCCACCAGTCCTCTTTGCTTTCACTTTTATGATGCGGTGATTTTGATACGATAGAATTTGAGATGGTCCGATATTTAACTCCATAAAGTTTTATTGAATGGGAAGATTATCTTTTCTTAGGGGTAGGATAATCTGGTTAATTAAACTGGATTTGGTAAACTTAAAACTGAACCAATTATTCGGTTTTAGCAAAAATAAACTGAAACTGGACCGATTTACGGTATAAACTGAATTTAAATCAAACTGAATATTCGATTTGGTTCGATTATCCGATTAACCGATTTTCAAACCAGATTTCCAATTCAACCATAAATTCTACATTTTTTACATTTTAGTGACCAAATGAAGCTACCCATTTTATATGGTACCAATATATTATCGCTTTTCTAAGGAAAAGATTCAACAACGAAGAGAGAAGATTGTAATATTTTACTTCGATATTATCATTTGTTTTATTCATCATCTTCTTAGTTTCAAAATATATGGGAAAATTTCGGCTTTCTTGCATGCACATGCACAAAAAGAAACACTAAATCACTAATCCCATATAGTTTGGCACTAATCCCATAAAGAATTGAAGTTCATTTTCATCTGCGGACTCTTCAGGAGCACCAGCTACCAAGACCCACATTTTAAGCTTACCTTGCTAGTCATTCGTCATCTGTGGGTGGGTGGTTGTCGCTGTTTGTTGTCATGGGCTACTTGTTGCTGTTCGTGGTTCGTGGAGATGGAGTCGTGGTCATGCCGTCGTGGTGGTCATTGGGTGGTTGTCGTCGTTCGCCGATGGGTTGGGTGAATGGGTGGTGGGTGGCGCTGGCAATGAAGACTCTGGATTTGGAGTATTTTGGCAATGGAGACTTTTGATCTGGAGGATACTTAGTTGCATCTATTTTGTTAATTTGGGTGGTTGCAAAATATTTTTCTAAAACTCCTTTTCTTTATATACTTAGGGTTTTCTAACTTAAAACTGGTTTGGGAATGCCCTTAAATAGAAAACCGAACCGATTTTTTGGTTTTTTAATTTGCTCAAATCGGAACCAAACCGGTTTTCATAATAACTGGATTTTCGGTTTGGTTTTGGACCAGTTTTTCGGTTAAGTTTTTGAACTTTTTCTCCCACCTTAACTCCTCTTATAAATCAGTAGGTTTGAGCGTGCTTAGTCAGTGTGGGACTCCAACACCCCTCCTCACGGTCAAGCCAACAATCCCCCTAAATCAGTAGGCTTGAGCGTGCCTAGCCAGTGTGGGACTCCAACACTCCCTCTCATGGTCAAGTCAACACTCCCCCTCATGGTCAAGCCCATATGTTAGGTCATTTTGATATGATAGAATTTAAGGTGGGCCTAACTCGTCACCCAATAAGATCTTGTTGAATGAGAGGATTACCTCTTCTTATAAACCATAGGCTTGAGCGTGCCTAGTCGATGTGAGACTCCAACACTCCCACTCATGGTCAAGCCCTTATGTTGGGTCATGTCTGTTAATAGAGGTAGTTGCTGGCTCTAACTTCTCACCTGTTGGTCAAACACTCAGCTTAACTAGGCTTGGCTCTGATACCATGATAGAATTTGAGGTAGGCTTGACTTCTTATCCAATAAGGCCTTATTGAATGGGAGGATTACCTCCTCTTATAAACCACTAGGCTTGAGCATGCCTAGTCGATGTGGGACTCCAACACTCCCCTCAATATCAAGCCCATATGTTGGGTCATGCTTGTTGATAAAGGTAGTTGCTAGCTACTCCTTACCTGCTGGTCAAGTACTCAGCTTAACTTGACCTGGCTATGATACCATGATAGAATTTGAGGCGGGTCTGACCTCTCACCCAATAAGACCTTGTTGAATGGAAGGATTACACTCTCTTATAAATCAATAGACATGAGCATGTCTAGTAAGTGTGAGACTCCAACAGGTTTCACTTAATGCATTTAGAAATTCGAAATTTGATTAATATATGACGTCCTTTTCACTGAAAATTAATAAAACGTGCTAACCACAAGAAATTCAAAATCAACCATATGTGCAAGTGACCGAACTAACCAAAATTATGATTAAGTGTCACAAGAAATTATGTATGAGGATTTTAATATTGAGCAAACTATTAAGTAAACAACTTTTTCCCACCCAAGGTTTGCTTTAATGACACTTTCCCACCCAACGCTTATATTCTGTTACTACCCAATGCTGATTTTGACCAATTTCGAAGACTAAAATTTTCTTTGTCACTACTATTTGAACCTTCGTTCTCCTCTCTACAAAACCCCTCTCACTTTGGCACCTGATTTCTCGTTGATTGTCGACCATCGCAAAGTTAGGATTTCTTGTTCTTAGTTGATTTCTGACTGATTTCAGTAGCGAATATTCAATCGGTCACCACCTTTGGATCCACCTACCACCACTCTACAAAAACCCTTTTACCCTAGCTCTTGGTAACTTGACAAATACCAGTTAAGAAAGTGAAGTGTATTTTAGGTATTAACGGAATATAAACATTGGGTGAGAAAGTGGTATTTTGAAACTTTTTGGGTGGGAAAGTGTTATTAAGGCAAACCTTGGGTGGGAAAAAGTCGTTTACTCTTTTAATGTCATATACTTTAATTGTGGGACAAAATTCATATATTTCTTCATTCTATGTATACATAGTATGTGACACAATTAGGGTTACATACATGTAAAAGGAGAAAGCGTAGAAAAATTCATGAATTGATTTTATTTGATCATCTGGCTCCCAATTCCGTTTTGATTGATCATTGATGTCTAAGTTTACTTGGACGGCTGCTTAATTTGTGGCCAACTTGTTGTATGCTCAATTTATGCGGTTAATATTTTATAATATCAGAACCACTGAATGCTTTAAGGCGGCAATATTTTCTCGATGGAAGAAGTGATAAAATTTCGACAGTGAAGACTTTTCAAGAAAAAACGTTTGAGCACAATTTTCCAACTTTTATTACTGCGACTTTTTGACCATTGCATATGGAAAACTTTTGTTACCCTTCTGAATTTCTCCAGTGACTTGTGTGTGATAAAAACAGGACTAGAAAATTCATATCACAAGCAATTAGTTTTATTGAATGAAAAATAATCATTTGTAAAGAATAAAACACTAATAAGACCTTTATGTAATTCAATATCCTCCCAAAAATACAATAGTAAGTATGGTGCAAAATTCTAAAAATAGTTTCAAATTGCAAATTGTTTTCAAATGTTGAGCGACAATTGCCAAAATCTGAATGGATTTTTTTTCTTCTTCTTCTTATTATTTTTTATAGTCACTAGGCCTTAACCCGGGTTGTATGGTATGATTACATTGGGTTAAATTTGATCTTGGGCTCAATGGGCTTAGTTGAGGAACCAAAACGTGAAGATTTTTAATAGATCCACCAAAATAATCTTCCAAGGATGCCGACGAGAGAATTAAGCCAATGTGGGCGCTCTCAGAAACGATTGGGGTGTCTTATTGCGTTGACTTCATGCATATGATTGGGCATCTTGAAATTACTTTCCGTGGGGAGGAAGTGGTATCCATTGACCCACAGCCATTTATTTTATACTATTATCAATTAATTTATGTCATTTATATATAATGCATACTGTTCTGTTCCATGAAATAAGTCTCATTCATCTGTCACCGATAGTGGTAAGGTTACTCAATTTAGACATTTGTAATGTAACTATACTAAACACTCACATTAATGGCATTTAGGTTGTGATTTTCAGGAGAAAGCAGGAGGTCATATGGGAACTGAATTTGTGAATAATTCTCCCATTCTCGAAAGTGAAGAAGGCTATACTATTGGGAAACTCAATCAGGGGCAAAGGGTAGAACTTGATGGCCGTGCTGAGAAGAAAGTCCATCAATTCTATTTCATCAAAATTTGGCCATATGGAGACCAGAATGTGAAATCCAGAATTGAAGAGGCTGAAAAGCTGATTGAAAAGATTGATGAAGACGCATTTCATATCAACACTAAATACAGGAAATTAATGGTACGTTTAAGAGGACGTGAATCATCATTAATTTGAAGTATTAATGCAATTGTTTTGTTTCTAACAGTGGACAAGCTAAGATTCTAGTTTGTTTAATAAGATTTGTTAATGGATTTGAGTATTGAGCAGTCAGATAGAACATACAAAGTGCTTTGTCTGCTGGGACGCCTATACAAGCGCATTGTACACATTGATTGTACGGTGAATTGGAATACACAGCAACTGGATCGTCTGAAACAACTTTTAGAGCAGCTGACTTCGAGGAAAATTGCGTATAATGGGACAGATATGAATTCATGGTCGTCAAGAGAACTTATTAAGTCTGTAAGAACAAAAACTAATTAAAGCTAATGTACTGAAAGTTTTTGGCTTGTATTTTAAATTTCTGTGGCCGTGCGGACACCATTGAAATGATTTTTTAACATCTTGCAAACCAGATGCGACACAAAAACAATAATTTGCCTACAGAAAGGCAACTCTTGAGACAGATCAGCAGCGAAAGTCAAAAGAGAGGAGCAGTTGATTCATTTTTATCAGCAGCAGAAGACTTCAGTGCACATGTAAGATTAAAGGTTTGGAATTTGTATTTTTCTACAGTAACTGGAAACATGACCTGGCGGTGAAATATAAATGCTTCAAGATTGTATTGAACTACCCGCGATCTCGAAAACTTAAGTTAAGACTCAATAACAATATTTGAGTTGTAATAATTCTGTGGAACTTTGAAAGCAGTTTTGATGCTTGCATTACTCAATGCAACGCGAAAGGAAGAACATAACTTGGAACAAGGAGATAGAAAAGCTCGAACAAGCAAGAAAGATAGCTATTGCAAATGCTGCTCAAGAGGGAAAGAGTTGTGTTATGCCTAGAAAAGTAGGACTGATGCAGAGCCCTGTCAGCGTAAGTGTTCAGAGCTTAGGTAAGTCCAGCAGCCATTCAGACGCAGCCACGTTGCACGTTGACGCATGTGGCATGCTCCTGCCAGTGCAATAGGTGTGCGCCAGGCTGGTGAAAGGTTGGAGGCGATCCACGTGTCCAATCCCTGCAAGAGTCGAGTAAATCACTCGAGCAGGTGAGTAACGAGATGAAAGGAAGGATTTGCACGGTAATCTGACCCACTCCTTGATTTAGTAATCATTACCTCAATTCATTCCACTATAAATAGAGGGTTCCTCTCCCGTTTGTGGGATTAGCTAATTTCTCTTTGGAATAACATATATACTTTCTCTCTCTCTCTCTCTCTCTCTCTCTCTCTCTCTTGTAACCTTTGTAAGTCAGCTCGCTGAACGCGACCTGATCTCCAATATATTAATACAATACCAGCGGACGTAGGATTTGCTTATTTAAGCATCCGAACCACTTTAAATACCGTTCTTCATTTTTTACTCAGTTCAATACCTCTGTACACGTGTGTCTTCTAAGTCAGGTCAACATCTCCCACGTGCGTTTAGTTGGAGTCAAAATTGAGCATCAACAGTTTGGCGCTAGAAGGAGGGGCTGATTTAGTATTCGTCCTTCATCAGGAGAATCTCTAACTAATCGGTCCTATAACAACAAATGGCTCGCCGATGCGAACTTGAGCGAACCAATCATGGAGAGGAAGAGATCCCTCAGGTGCAAGAGGACACTTTTTCTGAAGTGCCCCCAGTCCCGTAAAATCTCGTGGGGGATATCCCTTCGAGCTCACGGCTTGATCCAGCCATCATGAGCTACCTGGAGAGGTTCAACAATACTCTTCAAACAGTCAACCAAAGACTGAAACGTTTAGATCGAGTCGCGCCACTCGAATCAAATGAGGCGGTGCCATTGCTAAAAACGCCTGCAGGTCGCATGAAAGCGAGAAAAAGGGTGATAGCTAGTGTTGTGCGCACTGTAGCGCATCAAAGGAAGGGAAAACAGGTGGCGAACAACGGGCCTAGAGGTTCCAAAGGACCAGCAAATACAAACCATACCCCAGGTAGAAAACCCGTGGCGCAAAAACTCGGTGACATGTCGCGGGTCAAGCTGTCCCGTGCCATATCGCGTGAGCACTCCCACAAAAGTGCAAGGCGGGGAGATTCCCACTATCGCCAAAATGACAACTCCAATCGTCATCGCGCAGGAAGTTCCTACCATCCGCGGGTCAGTTCGCACCACTACGGAGGTCGGGAAGGTTCCCCGGACCATTCATTGCCATCGCATGACTCTACCTAGCCTGTGTCAAGAGCAGCTGGAACTGTCGGCCGAGGTGAGGAGGAATCTGACCTTCGGACTTTCCTCAACTCCAATCACGAGGGTCGAACCCGCACGGGGGAAAGTAATCCCCAGATGGCTCGGCTGCCTCAGATTGAGGAGCTACAATGAGCTCTAGATCAGCTAAAGGCTCAGCAAAATGAGCGAGGGCAGGTCGCAGAGGTGTCTCCCTTTTCTCCGACTGTGTTAGCTGCCCCTCTCCCATCCAGATTCAGAATGCCCGACATGCGGGCGTTCAATGGGAATTCTGATCCGTATGATCATTTGTATGAATTCAACGACCTGATGGAACTTCACCAGGTTTCTGACTTGGCAAAATGCCGATGCTTGGCAATGACTCTTACATCTCATGCCAAGCGATGGTTTAGGTCTCTCCCAGTAAGATCGATCAGCTGGTGGAATCAGATGAGCTCAACATTCCTAAGACACTTTCAGGCGAACAGGAAGTTCTCAATGCCTTTGAGCTACCTCAACAACATAAGGCAAGAGAGGGATGAATCCCTTCAATCCTACATCAACATATTCCACAGAGCGCTCCATAAAGTAGCTCACACTCCTGAAGAGTCCGTTCGGACTCTCATCATTGCGGGAGTTCGTCCACAGACAGATCTGTGGAAGGAGCTGCAATCAGAGGACGATGTTTCTCTCACCTGCTTCTACAACCTTATGGAGAAATACCTCTGTATTGAGAACTCCGTGGCAGTGCTCAACCGCCACGACCCCGGTCCTTCGGGCAGTATGCCAGGTCGGGGGGAAAATAGGAAGACTGATCGTCGATGGGCTAACGATGATCAACGAAAAGGAAAGAAATAGTGGTCCGAGCCTAAGAAGTCTTATGCTCTGGTTCCTCGTCGCGATCGCAACGAGAATCAATATACCCCTTTGAATGCATCTGTCTTGGCCATTATTGACAAGTCAGAAGAGGCCGGCTTGCTTGGAGAACTTGAGCCCATGAAAAATCCCCCCTTAGCTAGAAACAGTAAAAAGTACTGTCGTTATCATTGGGACAATAGGCATCACATCGATGAGTGCCGAGCTCTCAAGTAGGCAATCGAAGATCTTATCAAGCAGGGGCATTTCAAAGAGTATGTTGATGACTCTGCTCCTGTAAGGGAGAAAAATCGAGAAGAATCGGGCAAGAAGCGTCGTGATCGCAAGGGTATTTGTAGCATGAGGATAATCTTTGGGGGACCACACCTTGGGGGAAGCTCACAAGGTGCCTAAGAAAGATATGCTCGTGCAGCCCATCACGACCCTATCCGTATGATGAACACGACGTAGTGACCATCAAAGGTTTGCAGAGTGGAGGAAATCACCTTCTTCGAAAAAGACGTAGTCCGATTGCATCATCCCCATGATGATGCTCTCGTCATCATGCCCCAAATAGGGCGCTGCGACGTCCACAGAATGTTGGTGGATAACAGAAGCGCTGTGAACATCCTGCTCCAGTGAGCTTTCGAAAGAATGAAATTGGATGAGGCCAACCTGAAGCTCGCCTTTATCCCCCTATATGGTTTTACAAAGGATCACTTGATCCCCAAGGGAACGATCTCTCTTCCAGTCACGCTGGGTGACTTTGACGAGGTGACAAGGGTCACTGAATTCTTGGTAGTAGATTGCCCCTCTACTTTCAATGGTATCCTAGGGTGACCTCTACTAAGAAACTTCAAGGCAGTTACTTCGATCTACCATCTCAAGATGAAGTTCCTCACCCCGACGGGGATAGGGGAAGTAAGCGGATCTCAGCACGCATCTCGTGACTGCTATGTAAGGGCAGTGCAGATGGCATGCAAGGGGAAAGGCATCCCACGTGGCATTCCAGAACAGGCAATGGCGATCAGCCGGATCGAACCACAGCTTGGCCCAACTGAGGATAATATGGATCCTCGTATCTAGGAATGCCCTTCCAGTGGGCTAGCTGATGATCTATCGGAAGTGTCAGTTGACCAGAACGAGCTGAGCCAAGTGTTGAGGATTGGAAGCAATCTCAACCCCTAGCTCGCTAATGACCTGACTAGCTTCCTCAAAGAAAATATTGATGTGTTCGCATGGACGCATGCTGATATGGTCGGGATTAGCCTGGACATCATTTGCCATGCCTTACACATCGATAGTGAAGCTAGGCCAGTCTGCCAGAAAAGAAGAGCGATGGATCTTGGATCTAGAGTGATATGCTGCCTTGAAAATCGAGGTAGATAATCTTCTTCAGAATGGGTCCCTGAGCTGGGTTGCCAACCCGGTACTAGTAAAGAAGCCCAATGGCAAGTGGCGAACCTGTGTTGACTTCACCGACCTCAACAAAGCCTGCCCAATAGACAACTTTCCCCTACCCAAGATCGACCAGCTTGTTGCTGCCACCTCCGGGCACCAGCTGCTGAGTTTTATGGACGCATACTCAAGATACACTCAAATTTCGATGTATGCGCTGGACGAAGAGCATACCTTATTTGTTACGGATTGGGGGCTGTATTGCTATAGAGTTATGCCCTTCGGCCTAAAAAACATTAGAGCGACTTACCAGCGGTCAGTTAACCGAATGTTTTTCGAGCAGATCGGGAAGTCGATGGAAGTCTATGTTGATGACATGCTAGTCAAGTCACATGTCGCTTTAGATCACATAGCATATCTCGCTGAGATGTTCGACGTCCTCCAGAAATACAGGATGAAGCTCAATCCCTTCAAATGCTCATTCGGAGTATCCTCAGGAAAATTTCAGGGGTACATGGTTAACCAAAGGGGAATAGAGATCAACATCGAGAAAATCCAAGCTCTCATTGACATGAAAAGCCCAGCCAACCGAAAACATGTTCAAAGTCTCAACGGGCAAATAGCGGCACTCAGTCGCTTCATATCGAGAGCAACAGATCGCTGCTTGCCATTCTTCAACATCCTTAGGGTCAATAAGAAGTTTGAGTGGACTCCCGAGTGCGAATAGGCATTCCAAAGCATTAAAGAGCACCTCGAAAAACCACCTCTTCTGTCCAAGCCTCTTCCACAGGAAATTTTGCTTCTATATCTGTTCGTCTCGTAGTACGTGGTTAGTGCAGCTTTAGTTCGGGAAGAGAGCAGGATTCAATGGCCAATTTATTACGTGAGCAAGCATCTGTTAGATGCCAAGATACGGTATGCAAAAATAGAGCGATTGACTTATGCCCTTCTAATCGCTTCTAGAAAGTTGCAACCTTCCACGCCTACACAATCTATGTAATGACCAATTGCCCGCTCAAGCAAGTCCTCCAGAAACCAGAGGCATCAGGTAAATTGCTCAAGTGGGCCATGAAACTAAGTCAGTTTGATCTGCAGTACAGACCGAAAGCAACTATCAAAGGGCAGGCTGTTGCCGATTTCATCTCAGAATTCTCATATCATCCGATAAAGGAATCCGAGCAATAGGCCAGCGAAGCCACCTAGGAAAATGTTCAAAACATGTCGACCTGGAGCCTGTACGTCGATGGATCATCAAACAGGAAAAGGGCCAGAGTAGGTCTTCTCCTCTTAAGTCTCGAAGGGACGCACATTCATGGCATTCTCCGTTTCAGGTTCAAAGTGACCAATAATGAGGCCGAGTATGAAGCTCTGCTCTCTGGATTGCGGTTGGCAAGAGAAATGGGATCAACTGCGATCAGCATTCACAATGACTCCATGCTGGTTGTCAACCAGATTTTGGGAGAATATCAAGCCAAGGAAGAAAACATGATCGGCTATTTGAAAAAAGCAAAGGCCGTACTCGAGCCGTTTAAGCACTTTACGATCACGCAGATCCCTAGGGACAACAATTCTGTCGCGGATGCCTTGGCAAAGATAGCCTCATCGTTGGACTCGGACATGCCAAAGAGCATTCTTGTTCGATTCATAGAGACCCCCCAGTATCAGCCCGCCTGGACAGGCCGTGAATGTTGAAAGAACAGCATGCATGAAGAGTGGTGGAAATGAGAAGTGAAAGCATGAAAGCTTGGACTCAAAAAATCAGTTTTCAAACAAAGCTTGGAAAAGAGCTTATACCTACTCATTTGCTTTGGATTGATGAAGATTAGCCTCAAAATGATAAGACCTCCACACTTTAACACCACCTTAAGAGGTGTTGATGCGTGATTTTGACACCAACGAAACGCACGTGTGAAATGTTGGGTTGGTCCAAAAGACACACGTGAATGGAAAGGAAAATGACACTAAATGCAGTGAGAAAGGAGTTTTAAAGTAGTTCGGATGCTAAGGAAGCAAATCCTACGTCCACTGATGTTTTTATTAATGATAATGGTCAGGTCGCTTTAGATGACTGACTTTACACTGATGATACAAGGTATCAAAGACTGTCTTTTCTAGAGAGAGAGAGAGAGTTTTGTCAAGAGTAAAATGTGCGAATCCCTTTAATGAGAGAGGAGCTCCCATTTTATAGTGGGATGCCTTGGGGTAATGATCACTGAATCTATAAGTTGGTGGGAGGATCCGTGCAAATCCTTCGTTTAGAGTAAATCACGTGATCTGCTGTAGGGAGTGGACACGCGGAACCATCACAGCTCCTTCCTGGCCTGACGTGCACCCATTATTTTGACGGAAGCAAGCTGTGGGGTGCAACCATGATCACACGACGCAGCTGCGCCAGAATGGCAATAGACTCTTCTCGAGATCTGACCTTTCGCACTTAACTGGGTGCCAAGTCAGCCCTATGTTCTCAGGTATAACAGAAGTCCCCTAGTTTTTAAGGTTTGAGAACCGAACCTTGGAAACTACAAGTCATGCCGCAATTGGATGATTCCTGGAGATTTTGGAAATTCTAGAAATTCTGGAAATCCCGACCTGCCTGAAAGTAGGTTGGGATGACACTTTTTCGAGGACGACCTCGCATGTTCATTGTTTGCAGGGGACGAACGACTTGATTTCGTCAGACGTCACCTGTTGTCCTTTTGTCATGGGTGCATTTAATGAAGCAGTCCCTACGCTGACAGATGTGCCCTGTGCGTGATAAGTGCCAGCCAGATGCATTAAATGCGTTGTGCGCTGACATAGTACATCTTATCAGGACATTAAATGCGTTGTACGTTGGAACGTCACCTTTCATCAAAGCATTAAATGTAGATTTGAGACGCAATTAATGCTCTGAGGAAGAGAGATGGCCGTCGTTTGAGCTTTTCAATGAAAGAGATGAAGGTTTGACTTTATCCAGTCGTGACGCTCACTCTTCCCCGCTGATGCGCGACACGTGGCCGTGATCAACAGTGAGAAACCTTTGCCGTCCAAACGTCGTTTCGATTCCAAGAAATTGAAACGCCGATTCATACGCTATAAAAACCTGGAGTCGTTGTCAAGCAATGTCACTAGAGCCTTTTTCTTAGAGAGTAAAAGATTTTCACAAACTTGGAACTTCTGTCTTTCAAACCAGCATTTTTCCAGTATTCAAAGAGGAAGCTATTCTCATACTCCGAGAGGTAAGAACTTTTCCCTATTTTTGTTTTATTATCTACCATGGCTGAGTGGCGTCTGTCTTCCGGTAGCCTATCGGAGACGAGATGCTTAGGTTGGGTTCGAGCCATGAATGGCGGCTTGAATCACGCCGTTATGGTTTCCTTTGGAATTTAGGGAGTTTGTTTCCTCCCACATCATAGTACGAAATAGCATACGGCTGCTAAATGACCTTTCTGCTTGTTACTTTTGCAGACCAGCAAAATGGACCCCTTAGTAATCAGATCCGAACAGGGAACCGATTCGTCCCCATAGGGTCTCTAAACATCCCTATCGAGGTCTTCTCGGTTCTTATCGGGGATGAACTCGAGAGGGTAATAAAGCAGTACGGCATCGAGGTGGATGCCTTCCTCGACGTGGCACACTCATCGCGGTACCCGCTGAGTGGTCTGGCCACGGTCTTCGAGGAGATCATCAAGGGTGGGGGACTGATCCCCTTCCACCCTTTCATCAGGTCGCTTTTGGACCACTTCAGGGTCGCGCCGATGCAACTGACTTCGAACGCGTACGTCATTGCCGTTGCAATGTACATCGCGTGCCAAGAGAACGGGCTGGGCGAGCTGACCGCAATGGAGGTCGGCTGCTCGTATTATTTGAAAAAGAGCAAGGACAAGAACTCTTACTACTTGTCCAGACGACCTACTATAGCTGATGGGATATACAACTACCCGAGCAACGCGAGGGCCTATGAAACGAAGTTTTTCTTCTTTCATTATGGCGACCATTGCCGCTTCTAGGAATCGAGTAGGCTCTTTTTTTCATTGCACTCGAAATATGCTTTTCTAACAACCTGATTCCTTTCTGACAGTTAACAAGACGACCGACCTAGGGTTGCTTTTTGATAGAAGTAGGATCCTGCATTTCGGATCCCTACCTGAGGACAAGCGCGATGCAAAGAAACTCGTGACGACCGCGAGTTTGCAAAAATACGGTTTCTTCAGTGCACACGCGTCGTTAGAGCCTCTATTGAGTAAGTCCTGCCAACTGGTCTCTTTTTGGTTGTGTAAAGTGATATTTTGGCTAATGATGCTTTGCATGCAGCGACCATGCCTCCGAAAGAGTCAGAGCTGCCGTGACAAAGGCCGCTCAATTTCCCTCGAACAAAGAAAGCCAAAGCGGCCGAAGCTGCTTCGAACGTTCCTCCGGCAGAAGGTGCAACATCGGGCCAACCGGCGTGACCTTTCGGAACTTCTCAAGCGCAACCTTCAAAGGACGTGCTAATGTGAACCACGAAGGTCTCCCAGTCGTCGCCTGCTCGCCTGAGGCTGAAGACAACGGCCCAGCGAAAGAAGAGGAAACAGATTTAGGTCGAGGAGTCAGAGATAGAATTTGAGGGTGATCAATCAAAGAGGTCACGGCCGGATGCGAGTAAGTCGGGCAAAGCACCTATGGACGACACGACGGTTGTTGAGGCCGCAAAGAAGGATACTCTAGCGCTGGACTCACTGGGGAACTTGCTGGAGTACCTGCAGTCGGTGGTCTACACCCTATTGGAATGTGGACTCTCGGAATCGTTCGAGCAGTTCACAAGTTCCAGCGACGTGGACCTAATGTTCACATCGGTCCAACACTTAAGTAAGGTGAACGAACTGTCCTCGATGAGGACTTCCCTTAGCTTCTTTTGATTAGCTAACTCTTTCTTTCTTTGTTCGCAGGCTCTTCTTTCCATACGAATTTCCATGGAAAAGGTTCAACTGGGAGCCGCGAAGGGAGGTGTTACTCTGAAGGAAAAGAACGCAACGCTCAAGTGAAGCCTGGAAGCTGCCGAAACAGAGAGAAACCTGTCTTCTGAGTCGGCAAAGAGGTACCTGAACGAAAGAGACGCGGCTCTTCATACGGTGGACTTCCAGAAAATGCAGCTCGAGAAGCAGGGAGAGGAAGCAAAGGAGCTACAATAGTTAGACTCTTCAAGGAGGCCGGGGAGAAGGATCAGGAGCTCAAAGCGACCTCTCTGCAGGTCTTACGAACAGAGCAAGAGAGGGACGCCTCCAAGAAGGAAAGGCAAGCCCTCGAAGTTGAACTTCAGGAAAGTCAAGGAAAGATTGCTGCCTTAACGCAAGAGATGCAGGATCAGGCAGCAGAGGTCGAGGAGTGTTAGTGTATATTAGTGTATGCGCCAGAAACCATTTGTGTTGTCGGTTTCAGAGCATTTTGTCTTGTATCCATATATATCATAAATAATGGAAGAAAGAGTTCTTCAATTCATATATATAAATTGCTTCCTTTATTCAGTCATGCATTTAAAATAAAGTATGTATATGAATTGTCTAGATGATTCATTTAATCGGTAAATGAATTATCGAAAAGGGTTCCCTACAAAAGCAATGTAATTTGGGCAACTATATTGCATAGTAGGCATATCGGATGCTTCCGAAAGATATCATGAGTTGATATAAGTACGGATGATGATGATAGTCATATCACTGGGGCATTGGTATGGATTAATGGTTGGTGAACTGTTTTTCGAACATGACTGAATAACGACAAATCACTTGGAAAAACATGTAGTCAATGATTTATTGTTTGGTTATATCAGTGCACAATGTAGTCATTTGACCTGAGACATTGTAGTCGGATCCGATATGGATGCGTATGGTTCATACGGTGTATAAGTACGAGACTAATCATGTTTCGTATAATAAAGCCTATTTGGTCATGCGTTGTTCATATGCGGAAACGAACGATGGTCAAGAAGGGATCCATTGACTCAGAAATATAGGATCGGGAGTACCGCTGACTTCATCCGGATTTGAGTTCCTAGACGAACATCGATAAATGTCAGAAAACAGAATCTCTAGCCAGAGTCTATTATTAGTCATACAAAAGCAAGTTTGTGATGACGAGTTTCGGACATATTGATCGACGATTCGGTAAAAGATCGAGTTTAGGATTTTGACGTTACATGAATCCGTGCTCGATCAGGATATCTCAATGGAGGGACTTTACCTGCATGGTACGTATGATCTGAAATGGGTTCGATGAAGTATTTCTTCATCGTGGTTTAGGGACTATGGCACATTGCTAGATGTTTACCATAGTCGTTGGGCCTCCGGACAGGTTTCCGGATTCATCCAGAACCGGCTCACGGCTAATCCACGGTGGACCTACATGGTCACACCAATAGCCTTGAGAAGTTAGAGAAGGATGAGAGAGAGAAATGATTATCCGAAGAGGGCTAGCACCTTCCGAGGGTAATAACGGGATTTCTATAGTAATAGTTACATAGAAAACTATTTGTGACATTTTAAGGGTTAAAATGGTCAAGCAATAATTAATTATATTTAATTATTATATCTTAAAGTGTTAAGATTAATGAGATGAACAAAAATAACCTTTTAATAGTTAAAGGGTAAAAAGGGTAAATTTATGGGTTGTTAATGTAAACTAGTTTAGTTTACATGGGCCCTTGAATAATATTGATTATTCAAAGGGTAGCATATTAAATTCGTGGGGTCCCTTTATAAAATAAGATTTTATTGGGCGTGGAAGTAAAAATAAATAATTGCAATATTGCCCAAGTATATATAAGTGCAAAAGGTTGCATTTTGTTCATTCTTGACTAGTTCACAAAAACAAGAACACAAACCAAAACTCTCTCTCAAACCCACGGCCACTCTCTAATCTCTCAAGGTGGTGTTAAAGTGTGGAGGTTTCATCCTTTTGAAGCTAATCTTCATCAATCCAAAGCAAAGGAGTAGGTATAATTTCTTCTCAAGCTTTGTTTTTAAAACCGTTTTCTTGAATCCATTTTTTATGCTTTCTTCTCCATTTCCACCACTCTTCATGCATGCATGCTATTCTTTCACTACCGGCCCCTTCGAAGTCTTCCCCACTTCTCCCATGCCTGCCCGAACCACTTGGACCAACCTCACTCGTCTTTTGGGCAGCCACACTAATGCCAGTCGGTATCCCAATCGGAACGCCCCCTTCGGGCATCATCACTATGGTGGGGGCACGCTCATACTCATCCCCAGCGTCCACCACAATTTCACTCGAGCTTGCTGATTCAGTGTCTGACATAATGGCCCAATCGTCTAGCCTGACCGACCGACTCGGTCCTATGTTCAGAATTCCAAAACTGTTAAAGAACCACTCGCCCTGAGACACCGACCGAATGAAGATACTACACCCAGTGTTCGATCGCCCTTCAGCACTGGTCGACCTACCCGACAACGCGTCAACTACTAAACCTCGGTCGACCCTAGGTACCGATCGACTGGCCCGATCAAAACTTCGAAACTCCAAGAAAGCTAAGTTCCAAGTGACCGATCGCCCTCACCACCCGACCGAATAAGGCCAAAAACATAGCTGCCGCTAATCCTTCAGCACTGATCGACTTACCAGGCAACAAATTCACTCCCAAGCTCTGGTCGACCCTTCCTACCGACCAACCCAGACTTTGATTCGAGCATTTCTTGGCTCGCCCCAAGTGGTCGACTCGCTTTTAGATCCAACACGACCTGCTCGCCCTTGCCCAGCGAGTCACCAACTCAAAGACACCCACTCAGTCAAGCCGACCAATCGAGCCAAATCAAGGCTGCGTTTAAACCGTTTCGTCTTCTCATTTCCGTCCAAAACACCCGGAAAACCCCAAAACAACTAGCCAAGTCACCGGAAAACCACCAGGAATACCAAAATTCACGCCTATTCTAAGAACTTGTGTTCTAAAGTCCTCAAAACCAGTCGAAACTACTCAAAAAATTCAAAGAACTTCACCCTAAACTCCAAAGACTCAGCAAAGCACAAAAACAAACCAAAACTAGTCCAAAGCAAAGGATATTTACTGTGAAACGCTAGACTGTAGAAAGAAAGTCGCCGTTTGCCAGAACAATCCAATGTCGTTGAAGAGAAACCGGAACGAAGTTGAAGAAACGGAAAGAAAAGAAATTTTTTTGAAGAGAAAAGGGGAGAAAAATGCGAACTAGAAGATGAACAGTCCACCTATTCATTTTTAAAAGGGAAAAACTGACAGGCGAAGACACGTGGTGGCCCGCGATTGGCCACAAGTCAGAACGCCTTTTCATTTTCCCGCCTCGAAAATAAGGATTTGATCCCCGTCGAACACGTGGCAAGCATCTGTGGCACCTGGGAAACTGCAATGACGTACGTAAGCTTAAATTGACTGCCCAGACCTGCCGACCGAGTCGACATGCACCCGTCAGTGGAACCAACACGCCCCCACGATCCACAAGCTCATGAGGCCTTCCCAATTGGTCGACCAACTTGGAACGGTCCGGCTCGAGCTCTCTCCAAATGAACGAAGCAGGGTCCTCGCCCAATCATTCTTCCGTAGCGGACGAGTGGATAACCAATGTCAAAGCTTGCATATCCCTTCCACTCAATCGCCCGATCCTCTCGACCAACTCAACCCTTGACTTTCGGAGGCACTCTAAATGTCCCATGCTTCGTCGGCCCAGAAGGGCTGGCCGATGAAAGACCAGCATGCATGCATGAAAAGTGGTGGAAATGGAGAAGAAAGCATGAAAGGATGGATTAAAAAAAAACGTTTTTCATACAAAGCTTGAAAAGAGATTATACCTACTCCTTTGCTTTGGATTGATGAAGATTAACTTCAAAAGGATGAAACCTCCACACTTTAACACCACCTTGAGAGATTAGAGAGTGGCCGTGGGTTTGAGAGAGAGTTTTAGTTTGAATTTAAGTGAACAAATAAAAAATGAACTAAAATGCAACCTTTTGCATTTATATATACTTGGGCAATTTTACAATTATTTATTTTTCACTTCCAAGCCCAATAAAATCTTATTTTATAANGAAGCAATTTATATATATGAATTGAAGAACTCTTTCTTCCATTATTTATGATATATATAGATACAAGACAAAATGCTCTGAAACCGACAACACGAATGGTTTCTAGGGCATACACTAATATACACTAACAGCTGACCGGTTGATCAGCTTAGAACGGCTTAGTTTGAGCCCTCTTCAGAACAAGGCAGGAGGCCTCGCCCGTTCATCCTTCCGTAGCGATGAATGGACAATCTTTAGTCGAGGTCCATGTATCTCATCCACTTGATCGTCCCCACATCCCGACCGAGTGAAGCTTTTAGTTTAATAAACTTCCCAACTCATTCGACCTGGCATGATGAGTGAACTCCCCGACTATAACACTGCAGCTCACCTTTCTAGTAGGACGGATGTACCGAACGAGCGCATGAGCCCCTGTGCCTAGTTCTCTTTCCCTTCGGCCCGTCGCACCGATCAGGCACACTTTGCAATGATGGCATACTCTGGATCAGGAATGGATACCGAACGACGTCCAACCAAAAATCACCTGCAACAATTAGATCATCCGCACCGATAATCGTTCATCCACGAAGGATGACCGAGCTCGCCCCAATCGCTACCTACTCTTTGACTTAAGAAACTCTTAACTCAGAGAGTGGGGGACAAACTGTTAGGGCCAAAAATCATCCTTGGCCCAAATAGGAAAAGTGGACCACCAGTGAAGAAAAGACCAGGCCTAGTCTTAAAGAGGCCTAAGCCAAATTAGTCCCATTTGATACGAGATACGGCTGGCCCAAACCATCTGGGCACGGGCCTCCCAGTTCCAGCTCACTTCATGGGCCTGTAGGTGAGTTCAGAGCCCACGGCCCCCACTGATAATTTTCATGTTCCTGTTCAATCTCCTACTCAAAGTGACTTTCCTATTCAGATCACCTTCCTATATGGACGCAGATAAGACTACTCACCACCGCCCTAACTTTTCTAGGGTTTGCATCAGAGTTACACTCAGACTTCTACTCTTACCAGGATTGGGAGACCAGACAATCACTATATAAACAGAGGCCAGCCCTCTCACAAAAGACACCACACTACACCTTCACACCCGAAGCTTCTACTTGAGAGCTTCACATCACTGCCGTAGTCACAGTCTCTGACTAGACTTCCGGTAACCTCTCTACTCCCTAGCCCTCACTATACTAGCCTTTTCCAGCCTTGTTGACTTGAGCGTCAGAGTGCCTACGGCAAACACCACCCTAGTGTTTCCTGTTCGCTTCACGCGTTTGTTTCTCTACGTGTGCAGGTACAGCGGATCGCTAGTGGCCTCAACCTCACGGGATCAGACCCCTCTTTCGTACAGGTAGATTTTTACGTCTACATCGACCTAATCCATTGATCATTTTAAGAGTA